TTAAAGGAAAACCAGTCAGTTGGGGTGTATGATTTCTCCAGCAAGGTGCTACTGCTTGAATTCAGGCAAGACAGTTCGACCAGCATTAACTTTTACCTGGCAAATAGAGTAGTGGGAGAAAAATGCAAGAAAGTTAAGTGATTATAAGGAGGAAAGGAAAATTATTTAAGGAAAATTATTATAAGGAAAGTGATTATAAGGAGGACTGTGAACTCTCAGAGGAATAAAGAGGGAAATACAAATAGAAAGGAATGATGAAAATTATAAATGTGATAGGATAGTTGTCTTCATGAGGTTAAAGAATTATTGCAGTTGAGAAGCTAGAGAGTAAGTTATCTGTAGAGGTCAGAGGATGGGCAGGAGCACTAATGGATATGTCTGTAATCGGGAGTGAGGAGTGAACTATGGGACCTCGGCTCAAAGTATGGTCAAAGAGGCTGAGCTTTGAGTCATAGAGCTAGATATTTTGCTGTAGTAAGAGTCATAACATGATTGGACTTCTCCTGCTTTGAAACTTTTCATTGGCCCACTATCCCCTGTAGAATGGAATGTTCTCAAAAGAAAAAATTCAAAATTAATCATTCTTATAGTCCTTTTATTTTCAAGTATTAGAAAGGTGAAAAGCATGTTTCCAGTAGCAATTTGATGTTATAGTTTTGACTAATTTGTCCAGCATAGGAGGGATTGAGATATTTTGGAATTTCAAAAGTTTACTCTTCCATAATCTCACAAGCCATAGATGAGTAGTGTTAACATTTTAGAATATTTCTTGCTAACCTTTTTTCTTTGTATATATTTGTATAACTGATATTATATGGTAGGTAGTAGATCCCTTTTTAAAAAAAAACTTACTGTATGAACATTTTAGTTATGAGTTTTAAATATTGAAAATACTTCTTCAAAGACAAAAGTCTTGTTGGAAAATGTGAAAATTATAATACATCTTTTTTTTATGGATTCTGGGTCATCTGGGAATTAAAAGATACCTATATTCTCTTAAAAACATTTGAGTTGATCAAGGAAGAAGGCTATAGTAATAGATGATAAAATAATGACAAATTAATGTATTGTATATGTAAGGTTGCTATCAATATAATGTCATTTTCTCATGCTTTTATTTAATAAATAAGGGAAAATTGGATGAATTAATTATTCAACCAAAGATTTTGGGTAAAGACTGAAAAACTGCAAGTAGAGGAAACATGACACAGAAGAAAACAAATAAATAAGTTATGAAATATAATTGCTAAATTCAAGAAATAATGGAAAAAGTAGATAAATTCCTAATAAATACAATCAAGAAAAAACCCCAATGAAATGGAATTTATACAAAAGTATCAAAGTTTATAGAGGGAGGATTAGGATTACTAAGAAGAAAATTGAGAAAGTTATGATAGTACTAGCTATCAAAAAAGATTTTGGACCTAATAGATTTCACTGCTGAAATATTTTAAAGTTTTAAGGAAAATTGACTTTCCTTATGTAAAATAATATAAAACAAAGTTATAAAAAAAAGTTAGAAAACAAAGCCAGGAATTCTAAAATGATGATTAATCTTAATTATGGCTGTATAAGTGTGAAAATTTTAAAGAATATGCTTGTAAATATGATTTAAAAGTTGGATCCACTACTACCTAGTAAGAAATATGAAGATTTTTGTTGTTGTTGGTTGCCCAGGCTAGAGTGAGTGCTATGGTGTCAGCCTAGCTCACAGCAATTCAAACTCCTGGGCTCAAGCAATTCTTCTGCCTCAGCCTCCCGAGTAGCAGGGACTACAGGCATGCGCCACCATGCCCAGCTAATTTTTTTTTTTTTTTTTTTTTTTGAGACAGAGTCTCGCTTTTTGTCCCAGGCTAAGAGTGAGTGCGCGTGGCGTCAGCCTAGCTCACAGCAACCTCAAACTCCTGGCTCAAGCAATCCTTCTGCTGCCTCAGCCTCCGAGTAGCTGGGACTACAGGCATGAGCCACATGCAGCCTACTTTTTTTATTTATATATTATCAAAGGTTCGTATATGCAGATTGACGTTTCTTTCTATTATAGTAAGAGAGGGGTCTCGCTCTTGCTCAGGCTGGTTTTGAACTCCTGACCTTGAGCAATCCGCCGCCTCGGCCTCCAAGAGCTAGGATTACAGGCGTGAGCCACCGCGCCCGGCCTAATTTTTTTTTTTTTCTATATATATTAGTTGGCCAATTAATTTCTTTCTATTTATAGTACAGTTGGGTCTTGCTCTTGCTCAGGCTGGTTTTGAACTCCTGACCTTGAGCAATCCACCCACCTCGGCCTCCCAGAGTGCTAGGATTACAGGCATGAGCCCCCGTGCCTGACCCTGAAGATGTTTTAATATAAAGAAATGTATTGGCCGGGCTCGTGGCTCACGCCTGTAATCCTAGCACTCTGGGAGGCCAAGGTGGGCTCAAGGTCGGGAGTTCGAAACCAACATGAGCAAGAGCGAGACCCCGTCTCTACTATAAATAGAAAGAAATTAATTGGCCAACTAAAAATATATAGAAAAAATTAGCCTGACATGGTGGCGCATGCCTGTCGTCCCAGCTACTTGGGAGGCTGAGGCAGAAGGGTTGCTTGAGCCCAGGTGTTTGAGGTTGCTGTGAGCTAGGCAGATGCCACGGCACTCTAGCCTGGGCAACAGAGTGAGACTCTGTCTCAAAAAAAAAAAAAAAAAAAGAAAGAAATTTACTGACTTAGGAGTCTGAGGTAGGAGGATCGCGTGAACCCAGGAGTTCAAGTCCAGCCTGGATACCATAGTGAGACCCTATCTCTCTTTTTTTTTTTTTTTTTTTAGGGAAGCACTTTTAACCTTTATTGTGTGTCAGATTACATATACAATAAAATTAAAAATCATGTCATTGAACAAAAACTTTATACAAAATATTGATACGTAAATACAATATGGTTTCAAAAACAAAATATGTATATAGTTGTATTCATAAGTACAGCAGTCCCCCCTTATCCACAGTTTCATTTTCTGTAGTTTCAGTTACTGATGGTCAATCACAGTCCCCGAATAGGTGGGTACAGTATAATACCATATTTTGACAGAAATCAGTCACGTTCACATAACTTTTATTATAGTATACTGTTATAATTGTTCTATTTTATTATTGTTGTTAATCTCTTACTGTGCTTAATTTATAAATTAAATTTTACCATAGGTACATACATATAGAAAAAACACAGCATATGTAGGGTTTGGTACTATCTGAGGTTTCAGGTCTCCACTGGGGGTCTTGGAACATATCCCCTGAGGGTAAGTGGGGAGTATTACTGTATTTTTAACCAAAAGTTATACAATAATGAGAAACATTAATGGGGCAAATACATGAAGACGATCCTCTGAATTCACAGGTTTCATCTGGCATCAAAAACCACCACTGTATCTTTTAGTCCTTTTCTTGTACATTATTCTGTATCCACATTCTCTGCATCTGATCGGATCCCTGGATTTTATTTCATTTTCTGTGTGACATTCTCCACAGATATATATCATTGGCTGCTGCTTTGGTGGCTCAACGTCCTTCTGGGTGTCCATTGTGAGTCCCTACGCAGCACAGAGAAACTTTTCTCACCGCGATTCCAAACAAAACCCGGTTTGAAGCTCGAGACCCTATCTCTTAAAAAAAAAAAAAATTATTGCTGTTCTTTATCAGCTTTAAAGGGGGGGAAAAGATGCTATAATGTAGTTTTATCTAATTTATTGCTCATTCCTAATCAAATTATTTAGAAATGAAAATTAAAGAATACCTTCATAGCATGATAGGAAGAATATACTAGCTATTAATAATATCAAATTTAAAAAGGAAATGCCTTTAACACTGGCCACTATTAGTATTTATTTCAACTTTAATTCAGCATTGCTATTTAGTATATTCTGTGGATTGGTGCCATTCCATGAATTATTTGTTACTGGTCTGTCAAGAGGTAAGTACAGAAATTGAGAGGAAGTGTTTAGAAACTCTTATAGCAGTTTGACAGTAATTTTGTCTCTTTTTAGAACTACAAATCAAACATTTGGGCTTGTGTTTTGTATTTTGGGCTTATATAACTTTTTAATTTCATTTTTCTAGTTATTTTTACTGGTTTTAAAAGTAAGGCTGGGTGTGGTGGCTCACATCTATAATCTTAGCACTTTAGGAGGCTGAGGAGGGAGGGTCACTTGGAGCCGGGAGTTTGAGATCCGCTTGGGCAACATAGTGAGACTGCGTCTCTATAATAAATTGTTAAAATTAGCCAGGTATAGTAGTGCATGCCTGTAGTCCCTACTACTTGGGAGACTGAGGCAAGAGGATCACTTGATCCCAGGAGTTCGAGGTTACAGTGAGCTATGATCAGGCCATTGCACTCCAGGCTGGGTGACAGAGCGAGACACTGTCTCTAAAAAAAAAAAAATCAGCTTATTAATTTTATTAGCATTTTAATAAAGTATAATGAATTGGAATTAGGAAAAATTGGTCCTTTCCCATAGATTGAGAAGCATTGCTCTGAATCATGCCACTAAGATAAGAGTAAATATTTGAAAGAGACAAAGTCATCACTATGCATGGATAATATGATAATGTTATATACTAAGAAAAGTCAGGGTCCTTTAGAAATTAGTATAGTTAATAAAAATTCAGTAAAGTGGTCACATGTAGAGAGTATTGTAGCTTTAGGTTTAGAAAATTTTTTTCAGTTTTATTATGATCATATTGTAGAATTTTATATAGAACCAAATCTATTTAATGATGAGAACAAACTATTAAGAAATAGACCAGAAATGACAGTGATTCTTCAACACTTTAAGAGATGAGTAGTAATGATAAAAGGTCTAAAATATAGTTAATATTGTGAGAAACATAGAACTTTACATTTTCCATACTTTAATAAGAATGTCATTAAATAGGAAGCTATATGCTACATGAGTGAACATTTTAATCTAAATGTTAATATGTATTGTAACTTGGTTAATGACTTAGCATGTTTTCCTTTAAAATTATTGTTTCAGAGAATAGAATCTTGGCATTGTCTTCCTCAAGAAATGGACTCTTCCCTAACTTTGGCTACACCTCAGACCGAGTTTAGTGCAACAGCAGAAGGGACTGAAGTGACAGACTTCCCCTCTGTGGAGGAGGGTGTATTGACCCAATCAGAAAATCAAGTAAAGGCACCCACCAGAAATCTCTTATGTTCTCCATTGTTAGGTAATGCCTCCTTATTTTACCATACTCAAAGGGATTGGCTTATTTCTGGTTTTTCACACTGGCCAGCTGGTCTAGTTATATTAAGTGTGCCCCTTATTTTATCATGTCCTATTGCTCATAGAAGGCAGAAAAGGGATAACTTCCTCTCTAGTGGGTGTTCCTTCTTAGTCCTGAATTTATAGAGTTGTTTTTGAGATAAATAAAAATTATGCTTTGACTGGTTCTTTCAGCAGTGGAGACTCAAAGATCCCTAGAAAACAAACAAAAAACAAATGTTCACATTTACCTCACTTGATTCTTAGATTTAATTAAAACATATATTATTATCCCCAGCTTTCACACCAAAAAATTGAGGTAAAGAGGTTGAGTGAGGTCGATTTTAACTGCTTTCCTGTTTAGAGTAGAACTCATTTGTTAGCTCTTTACAAAAGATAAATTTTAAGTACTTTTCAAATCATCAAGGAATTCAGTCATGAAGATGGTTTTATAGTTTTGTAGAGAAGCAAATTAATTCACAAATTCTTTTCAAACTTAAGCCATTGCTATCCAAATCAGGATATTAGTGCCATCGTAATCTATGATGTGAATCCTTAAAGTCAATTTTAGGTCCACATTTTAAGAAAGATGTTAACAATTAAAGTACTTTTGTGGGAGGAGATGATTATAATAGTAGATGAAAGAGAAAACCTTGCTATGATGAGATATTTGAAGGGCTGCCATGCTAAAGAGGAAGCAACTTATTTCTTATTCATTTAGGTAATGAATATCTAGGTACCTACTATGTGTTTGATGCTACGGATGTAGATGAAAGCTACCTCCTCTTCTGGGAAGACAATCCAGTAAACAGAAAATACCAGTACCATGGAATGAGTATGGTGTAGAGCAAGAGTCTGCAAACTACAACAGACAGGCCAAAGCTTGGTTTTTGCATTTTTAAAGAATTGTAAAAACAAATAACAGAAGTATATGCAACAGTCTATATATTACTAACAAAACCTAAAATATTTATCATCTGGCCCTTTACAAAGAATGTTTGCTAACTCCTACTCTAGAGGTTAAAATGAGTATATAACTTGTAGAGAGGCTGTTTTTCAACTTGATCTAAGAAACAGCTTTCTAATAGAGCCATTTAATAGTGGAAAAGCCTATATAACAATAACAAAAGGTGAGCTTTATGTCACTGCAAAATGTCAAGGAAAATTCTGTAGTAGAAGGATTTCAGCACTGGGTAAGAGACTGTATGATGTGACTTCTAAAGTGTTTTCTAATGTAAAGTTTTTTTTGTTTTTGTTTTTTTTTTGAGACAGAGTCTCACTCTGTTGCCCGGGCTACAGTGCTGTGGCGTCAGCCTAACTCACAGTAACCTCAAACTCCTGGGCTCAAGCAATCCTTCTGCCTCAGTCTCTCAAGTAGTTGGGACTACAGGCATGTGCCACCATGCCCGGCTAGTTTTTTAAATATATTTTTTAGTTGGCCAATTAATTTCTTTCTATTTTTAGTAAAGACAGGGTCAGGGTCTTGCTCTTGCTCAGGCTGGTTTCAAACTCCTGACCTTGAGCGATCCTCCCACCTCGGCCTCCCAGAGTGCTAGGATTACAGGCGTGAGACACTGCGCCCGGCTTAATGTAAAGTTTTATAACTCTAGCTTCTCACCTACTATAAGTAAAGTAGAACATTTTAAATTATTGGAGCAAATCCAGTAATTTATAGAAAATTCCATCATTGCTGTTTTATTATGCATAAGTACCATCATTGTGCTGTTTAGGCTCTTATCAATGGCAAATGTCATTGATGACGACTGGTGCCAGAATGGTTAGATACCTCAGAAAAGAGGGATCCAAGCCATTAACAGCTGTTTAAAAGTGAGGACATAAGAAGCAGTTGAAAATTGTAAGAAAAAGGCATTGCCAGTAAGGTATACAGCCTTCCCACTATGCAAATGCACACATATCCATCCTCTACAGCAGCAGTCCCCAATCTTTTTGCCACCAGGTACTAGTTTCATGGAAGACAATTTTTCCACTGACCGGGGCCAGTTGCGGGAGACTGCTGTCGGTGGCACTGGGCTCAAGCAGTGATGTGTGGCCCAGTATTTAGGGGATTGGGGACCACAGCTCTACAGTTTTGGTCTGCTCCTTTAACAGATACATTTTCCCGTTTATTAATCTGACTCTCCAATTGCACTTTGAAATATTCTTAAATATTTAAGGAGATGCTGAAATGCTGCCTACTTATTACTTACTATTCTTTAGTTATACCTAAATAGTTATTTCAGGTAATAAAGATTTCTGTAGGTTCCTGCACCTGGTTAGGGATAACTCTAATTTTTTTTAAGAAAAGACTCTCAGGTTCTTTAAATACTCAGTCTGTAGTTAATTGGAAATAGTAAATTTGCCGTATTTGCCCATGGGTTCCCCTTGTAGCATTAGCCTTAGTGTATTTGGGGACTGTTAAAAACTCTTCATGATTCTTAGTGGGTGAAGGACTATTATGAAGATTTAAGACTGATTCTCCAAGCTGAGGCCAAAGAGGAAGCATACCAATTGTTCCTTGGGGGTAATGGTTATCTATCAGTTTCTCATTTTTTATTCATTCAGTAAATGAATCTGTTTCAAGTACCTACTAAATATAGCAGGTACTTTGCTAGGAATTGAGGGTATAACTGTTAATAAAGCAGACATGGAGGTGACAATTTAGATGGGAAGCAGATAGACCAAAGATTAAAATAAGAGTGTGATGAATAATGATAGGTAAGGTGTGCAGGGTATGTGAGAGCAGCAGGTGAAAGGTAGAAGGTACCATAGTGAGCTTTGTGAACCCTTGGTTTGTAGTAATTTCAAGGGGAACAGTGGTGAGAAAGTGGAGTCCTCACTCTCTACATATTATTATAGGCATTTTGAAATCAAGAAACTATACTGTAGCAATCAGTATTATAGTCATATTGAAAAAGCAATTTAGTTTTAACAAAACATCACCCATCAAGTTAAATTAATTTTAAATATAATGCTATTGATTTTATAATAATTTTTGTTTCGATTAGTATTTTTCCTCACTTATAAGTATAATATTGTCAGGCTATAGTTGTTGCAATGAAAAATAGTTGTTGCAATGAAAAAAAATAATAATAAAAAAATAAGTATAATGATACCCTTTCAAGGTTGCCATGAGAATTTAAATGAAATATTGTATGTTAAGTGTGCCTGGACCTCAGGCTCTCAGTAATTGATAGCTACTACTCCTGCTGTTATATTATTATTCTAATGCTTGTACATACTTCCAGATAGCAACTTGTTTAGGTACTTTAAAATATTACTTGAGTAAGCTAAATAATCAATTTTCAGCATTACTCAGCATTTTTATATTTGAAACTTTACAGTCATACAAGATAGCTTTGCTTCTCCTGATTTGCCTTTGCTGACATGTCCGTCACAAGACCAAGAGTTTGGGTCTGACTCCTTATTTCACCAAAGTGAACTAGGCTTTGCACCTCTGAGGTAGGATGATTTACTTATTTGCATGTAACCTTTCTGCTCTTTGTTTTCTTATTCTAAGTTGTTAGTAATATTAGTGACTTCAGGCTGATGTGGGACTTTGGGGTGGAGGTTAGATGTTCTTGGCACATGCTCTGAAGGTAATAAGGCCCTAAATTAAGACTTGATACCCTTTTGCTATATATTACTTTCTAATTACTTTTATGAAAAGTGATCTGTACATATTAGATCATCAACAAATGATTAAGTTACTGTTGTATTTTGGGAGTAGATCACTTCTTGAGTGGTTTTCAAGAGCATAATGAATGACTAGCAAAACAGTTAATACAGGTTAAATGAGTATTAAATCATGGTAGATGATAAACTAAAGAGGTCCTCAAACTACGGCCCATGGGCCACATGCAGACCGCAAGGACATTTATCCGGCCCGCCGGGTGTTTTTGCTGCCGCTGCCTGTCTTGCTTAGCAGCTGACTGGTCCTGGGCCCACAGTGCACACTCTCCAACTGTCTGAGGGACAGTGAACTGGCCCCCTGTTTGAAAAGTTTGAGGACCCCTGAAACACTTAAAGTAGTAGAGTTTAAAAGACTATTTGGAATTTTTAATTTAAAGAATCAATTTTTTTGGCATTATGAAAATCAGATTCTGTGTCTGTTGTTTTAGGAGAAGCCTGAGATAATTATCAGGGTCATAGGGTGGTAGTTCACCTTCTGGTTAAAAATTTGCTTTGTTCAGTCATTAGCCACCTTAAAGGAATTTGATATTAGGAGATCTTCCTTTTTCTTTTCTTTTTTTTTTTTTGAGACAGAGCTCACTTTGTTGCCCAGGCTAGAGTGAGTGCCGTGGTGTCAGCCTAGGTCACAGCAACCTCAAACTCCTAGGCTCAAGAGGCTGCTACCTTAGCCTCCCAAGTAGCTGGGACTACAGGCATGTACCACCATGCCCGGCTAATTTTTTCTATATATATATTAGTTGGCCAATTAATTTCTTTCTATTTATAGTAGAGATGGGGGTCTCACTCTTGCTCAGGTTGGTCTCGAACTCCTGAGCTCAAACTATCTGCCCGCCTCTGCCTCCCAGAGTGCGAGGATTACAGGCATGAGAGATCTTTCTTTTTCAACATACTTTTCAAATAAACTTGAGTTCAGTGACATATCAGTTTTATGTTTTTGTGTTAGTACTAAATGTTTTTAATGTGTTATGTATTTTTAACTGTGTATTTTCAGGGGAATTCCTGATAGATCTGAAGACACTGAATGGCTTTCTCGACCATCAGAAGTTAGTGAAGCTTTATTCCAGGCTACCTCAGAAGTAACTTCAGACTTATCTAACAGTTGCTTTAGTGTATCTCAGCACACACTTAGAGGTAGCACAGCTGTTGGATCTCAGCGTTCTTTACAAGGGAATAATGAAGAGGCTATTTCATCTGGTACTGTTGATGAACTGAAAACCCCCAACGTCTCTGATAGTTATGGTGCTCCTAGTTCATATATGTCATGGAAGACACAAAAAGATACACAGCAGCCAGAAATCAATTTAACTGATAAAGATGAAGTTTCAATTTCAACTTCATCTGATATAACTGATGGAAACATAGACACTAAAAGAAGCAGCAATTTTGATGCTTCTTGTTCACATTCACAGTACTGGACGCAGGGAGTTTTACAGCCGGAAGAAACATATTTAATCAGCAAGGACCATGATTCTTTTTTCGATTCATGTGAAACAATTGATAAAAGTAAAATTCCCCAGGAAAGTAACAATTTTAGTGTTCCTTTTACCTGTGTGCCATGGAACAACGAGGGAACTCCACACCATCCAGAAACATGTGTAATCAGTAAGGACTGTGCTTCTTTTCCACACGAAGTTGCTCCTCATGATGATAAAATGTCATTTTCTTTCTTGCGACGTTTGTTTGGAAGAAGAGGAAAAGGGGTTCCCTTGACGTCTGATAGTGTTTGTTTAAGGGCTCCAGCTGAGAATGAGGTGCAACAACAGATGGATTCTTTGGGGGATTATGAAAAAGATGAAGATGATCTGCTGGAGGAATTATCTCAATACTTTGAACAAACACAGACTAAAAACAATTTAATATCTTCAGAGGTGCAACCCAGATCTGCACAAAAGCAATATATTGGGAATGTTGTAGTTCCTGATAATACTGTAAAAGTTGCAGAAGCACATATACTCTCCAGAGGACGGGATACCTCTAAGATGGAGCCTTCTGCTGGTCTTCATCAGACTGTTAAATCCCATTTGGATGAGACATCAGAACAACTGTATTTTCAAGAGGAAGGAAAACAAAGGGCAACTTCTGTTTTTGGTGAGAAAAATGTTGATGCTACTGAAAATGTAGCCTTTGAGGCAGTTATTGCCTCTATTGAGCCTTCCAAGAAAGAGAGTACAGTAAATGAAATCCAAACTGACATCAATAAATCTTTAACAGATGACAGCCAAGAGAGAGAACCAAAATATTCAGATTTTTCCCCATTAAATTATAATGATGAAAACTCTTTCTTTGATGAGCTTAAACATCCACGCTATCAATCTACTCCTGGGGTATTTGAGCCAGAAACTTCAAAACCATTGTTGCATAAAAAAGATGATGATGATAGCTCCCTATACCAGCATCCAAATTTAAAATCACCCCCTTATACTCCTCAGGAAATGTTCAGTAAGCCACTTCCTGTTATTACAGAGCTTAAGTCATCTGCTGCTTTAAGTGAAAAATCTTACAACCAGGCTGTTGGTCTTGGCAAAACACAGTCAGCTTTATTTCAGTATGATATAAACAATGAACCATTTCTTCCCGTTGGGAAGATAAAGTCTGTTCCTGCACTTGGCCTTGCAGAGAAGGTAGGATCTTCAGATATTAATTATTATATGAAAGTATCAACTTCAGATTCTTTGGTTTTACAAGATTTAAAGCAGCCAACCTTTGAAGAAGTTGCAGATTCCTCAAACTATAATTTGGGTAAGGATGTTAACTCTAGTAATGCCATTGAAGGTCCACCCACAGCTGTAGGAAGCAGCTTTTCAGCAAACTTGGTGGCATATGGTGCAGAATCACAAGGTGCTTTACCACTGACCAGTGATGCATCAATTGCATTTGGCCAAGAGACATTGCTGAAAGCTGATATAGGCCAAGGTGAAATTCCTCGGCTTGTGGGAGCTGTGTCCCATTTTACTATACATACAATTATGCAAAATGACTCCTATTTTGTAGAGGGCCTGCAGGGGAAGACTGAGTCTGACGTCATTACTCCGGCTGCTGCTGCTGAACGCTATAGCCTTTATGAAAATGTTGTGGGCGGTGAGAGAGCTGAAGTACCAAGAAAGGTGAGATACAATAAAATGATGTTTGTAGGAAACATGGTCTTTTCCAGTATTGTTTTAGGAAATGGTATTGTTTGTTTTTATTTTACTTTTTACTATTTCCCAGACACATGACCAATGTGACTTGACTGGTGAGTACATTGAGCTAGCAGCTTTAGAAAATTTGCTTGATGATCTAGAGATGTGTGACAGCTCCTTGCCCTGGCAACCTACTTTACAAATACCATCTGAAAAGGAGAGCAATTTTGAGAAGCCTGTAAGTTTTTTTGTTTGACATTTCTTATGGATGGGGAAAGAAATGTTTTAGCCAGAAAATGGTAATGAAAGTAAAGGGCCCATTTATATCCTCTAATACCAACTTGTGACTTGTAACTTGGTCTCCATCTGATATTTGAGAATATGCTACATTAATCTGTTAAGGATTGGTGTAAAAGAAATATTTATGTTTTGTAGACCATAAGACTTAGTTCTGTGTTGTCTTGGAAAAGACCATCCTATAGAGCTCTTAGGCCTTTTATCTTGAGGCAGCCTAATTCTTCCCAGTTGTGCCAACAAGAGTCTTTGGGATGGTGTTAAGATTAGACTCATTCATGGGGACATTCAAAGGATTGTGCTCTCTTTGTTTTGTTTTTTTTTTTTTTTACCCCTCTGGTTTTCAATGTTCAAGCCTTGGAATAGGCCTTGGGATATATTCAAGTGTTTCTATTTAACAGATCTTGAGAGATTTGACTTCAGATGTTTGCCCAAGAAGAATATAAAGTGCATAATATCAAAATTGGCTAATGTCCCCAAGAGGAACTAACAACCACCCTTCACAAATGAGCAACATACTCATGTCTTTACACATTCCCTCCCTCTCTCATTATTATCATGGTGTGTGTACTAGTATTATCATTCTGTGTGTACTAGAAAATGGTAACTCTGAGTGTTGTAAAAATTCTGTGTCAACCTTTCTTTTGTACAAGGCTTTATTTGCCTGGATCCTTGGGTCCCTTGGCTGTAATGTTCCTCTGGACCCATTGCACACATCCTCTTTGTCTAAAACTGTCAGTTGTAAGGTGGGCCCCACTTCCTTATAATTTATCCTTATATCCTGTTAGTCATTAAATATAGTTAGATAATATAGGTGATGTGCTTAATGTTACTTCTTTTTTCCTGTTTTCCTGTGTATAAGATTGATATGTCATTGTAAAGCTGCTAGTTTGGGTTACAACCATATTTAGATCGTTAGGTTCAGACAGTTGATAAGAGAAAATGAAATTTTTCTTTTATTTAAAATTTGTTGAATTTATGAGAAACAATTTTTAACATAAAGAACCATTAGGTTTTATTTTTTTCAGTATTCTAAAGAAGGCATTGTTTACTTATAATTTTAATCTGATAACAATGTGGATTAAAATGAGAGTTAACACTGTGTGCTCAAATACTATGCTATGAGGTATACATATATGTGTCAATTTATTTAGTCCTACAGTCAGTCCTAGCAAGTAGAATCATTGGAGATTATTATCATCATCATTTTACCATTGATACTTAGAGAATTAAGGGACTTGCTCATGTTTGGTCAGCAAATAGGGGAATCAGTGTTTGAAACCCTATTTGTGTACTTAAATACTCTGCCATAAACTGCCTTCCTGTTTAACTAGTCTTGGTGAAACCAGGATCAAAATTTTATATTATTTTTGCAAAAGTGAAGGTTTTGAAGGCTATTGGTTAAAGTCAGTTTCAATAAGAATGAGAACCAAAATAACAATTTTTAAGAGTTCTAATTTTTAAATACTACTTTTGTGACTTACATCATTTTTCATGTAGATAAAATATATTTTAAAAATGAAGATACATATTCAGTTAATGTTCCAAGATTAACTTTGACCACTATTCCAAATTTTATCTGCCCTTAAATGTAGCCTTAAGTATGTTCTTTCAACTAGGGAAGATGTTGTTCCCTGTATTGTCCTTCACTCTTAGCTATGTTCTGTGGTCTAGGGGTTATTTAATGTCAATATTAGAGAAATAAGGAGCCAGAAATGGTAGTTATTTTTCTACCTGGCATGCTCTCAGAGGGCTTGCTTTCTCCTTGGTTTCTTCCTTATTCTCTTCACCTTTGTCACAGAAGAGTCATTCATACTTACTTGGCTCACTTTTATATCTACCCGTCATTTTTCTAGATGATTATTTGGTTATGCACTTATGTCTGATGCAGTTTGGAGCTGTGAAAAGAGCATAGAGATTTGGAGTCAAAATCCAGTTCAGTTACTTTGTTAGCCTTGTGCCTTGAGCAAATGACTTTGGACAAACACTTTCCTCATCTATATAAAAAATAGGAATGGTAATAATCAACCTCATACATTTCTATATTAAGTGAGGTAAGGTATAACACTTATGTAGTGCCTAACTATTAGTTTCCTTCACTTTACTGAAACTAGGCTGCTAGACTCTTATGGGTGGTTTCCTACTTTCTATCATTATTTTGTTCTTTTTCTTCTTTCTTCTTGTTCTTGGTAGCAGCATATAGTAAGATACTATTCTACTACCCCTTATTTTGACCATTTACCTCTAAAAATTATTTAAGGTTTAAGCCTTAGATATCTCACTGCCCTATCCCACACTTAGTTTCCTGTCAAGGCTTAAATGTTAATCTCTGTGTGGAGGATTATCACCTCTGTTTTTAGATCCTAATGTTTGTCCTTATGGTATCTTGCATGAAGTTTTCTTATTAACATTGTTGTCACCTCAAATTCAACTTGCCTATATCAAAATAACTCATGTTTTTCCTAAAATCAGACTGACTTGTAGATTTCCTGAGTTCTTAGGAGAAATGTTAGCATTTTTCTAGTTTCTTAGGGATCTTTGATTCTTCATTATTGATGAAAAATTGGGAGATAAACTAATCTTGATTTTTTTTTTTCCTCCTGGTCCTCCCATTTTCAATTAGTAATGAGGGTCTGCCAAACTCTTAAATATTTCTCAGTCTTTTTCATTCTACATCATTTTCTTTGTATTACCTACTCTAATGGTTCTATATTTTGAAGCTTTGATATAATGAAATTTGATTAAAGTTAAGATTATAATAGAAGCTTTTTTCTTTCTACATTTAGAAGCCGTGGGGAAAAATTGCTATTAAACACACATACTTTCTCTCACAAGTATCTTTTTATGTATTAATATTATATACAGTCATGTACCATATAACAATATTTAAGTGAATGATGGACCACATATACAATGGTGGTCCCATAGATTACATCATAATGTATTTTTACTGTACCTTTTCTGTGTTTAGATATGTTTAGATACACAAATACTTACCATTGTGTTACAGTACAGTATTTAGTACAGTCATGTGCTGTACAGGTTTGTAGCCTAGGAGCAATAGGCTGGGCCATATCACCTAGGTATGTAGGAGGTTCTACCATCTAGATTTGTGTTAAGTACACTCTATGGCGTTTGCACAATGATGGAATGGCCTAACACATTTCTCAGAACATATTCATGTTGTTAAGCAACACATCACTGTGCATATATGTATGTGTATGTGTGTGTGTGTGTGTGTGTGTATAAATGAGCTATACTTCAAAAAAGTCTCCTTCAGGAATGAGGTAATTGGAAACTAAGAACTTTGTGCTATGTGTAGAACAGGGCCTATTAGCAGTGTTATCATTTGGGTTGGATAATTCTTTGTCATTGGGGGCTGTCCTGTGTATTTGAAGATGTTTTCAGCATCTCAGGCCTCTACTCACTAGATGCCAGTAACATCCCCTTCCCTCAACAAGTTTTGACAGTGAAAAATGTTTCTAGACATTGCCAAATGTCCCTTGGGGGCTACACAATTTTCCCCAGTTGAAAATGACTAGTCTAGAGAAACCTATATGGGTAGTGGACATAGAATAACCCTTTCTACACCCTGTCAGCTTCCTAAGAATGTTTATTACTAAACAATGAATACTGATAAAAGAGGATAGAAAAATTCATGCTTATGTGCATTTTTAGACTCTTTCCTGAGAGGGTATGACTGGAATAATCATTTTAGGGAAGTAAATCTAAAAGTGGTACGTTTTTATATGACAATATGCTGTGAATTTGGTGAAAAGTTGTGCATGTTTATGTATTAATGTCACCAGTAATAGTTTTAATTTATTTTCTAGCAGAGACTTGTTGGGATTTGATGAAACATTAGGAACTTCTTTTTTAGCAATTGACATTTACTATCAATTTATGGTCTCCACTAATATTAATCCAAGAAGTTTGAGGACTTATGTTTTTTTGGTAACTGATCACAGTTATAGTGCTTTGATACTCTTATTTTTCATCTAAACATTTGTGAGTTTCTAGACTATTCCTATTTTCTTTTTCCTTCTTATTCTTTCCTCCCCACAGCACACTGCACAACCTAAAAAAAAAAAAAAGAAAGAAAAAAGAAACTCTTGAGCTTGTCTAGAATAATATACCATAGTTCAAATCCTACAGTGATCTGACTAAAAGGAGCAAACTTCCAAGTAACAGAATACTTTTTAGGCCTCTATCTGTAATATTTTATATAGGCAGATTTCTAAACCCTCAAAATGATTTATAGAGAGTTCTCAGAGTTGGCCAAACAAGATATGACCTGCATGTGAATTCAGGAGGGTTGAGAATATGATCTTAAGTAATAACTGCTCAGTGTTCATTTTTATGAATATTAGAGTTTTTTTTATTAGCAAGTGAATTATGAAATTAATATAATCTTATTTTCTTCATTTCTTTTCTCTTTTCATAGGCAGGTCTTTCTAATCTGCGTGTTAATCGGCCTTTTCCTTCATTTGTTCCTCATGAGCCAACCAGAGGGTCGGAATATCACTCTTCAACTCTTAGAATGTTAAGGGTATCTCCTGATGCTCTGCCAAAGACTCTCCAACATTTAACAGGTATGTAGAAAAAGGAGGTATTAAATGTCCTCCTTATGGCAACCTTGTGAAAAATAGCTTGCTGTGTCTATCAGTTTTTCTTATGTTTGAACTCTTACAGTAGTGTTACTACTTTGAATTAGATATGTTTATAAACCATATTTTAGTCTGTTTGGACTGTTACAATATTACAAAAATATCTTAATAACTTAAGTGTGGCTTATAAACAACAGGAAATTTGTTTCTCACATTTCTGAAGGCTGTGGATTCCAAGATCAAGGTGGCAGATTCAGTGTCTCATTAAGGCCTATTCCTTATAGATTACACCTCCTTGTTTTGTCCTCACATGGTGGAAGGGGCAAGAAATCTCTCTGAGATCTTTGTTATAATTGGCACTAATCCCAAATATGAGGGTTCATTTTAGGGATCCCAAATATAATCTAATTAGCTCACCAAAGCCCTAACTCCTAGTACTATCACTTTGGGGGTTAGGATTTCAAAATATAAATTTTGGAGGGACATAAACATTCAGACAATAGCTAATACTCTGGTTTTTTATTAGGTGAATCATTTGATTTTTCATTGCATTGTACATGACAGTGTTTAGAACTGAATATATGGAGGAGTCCAATATTAGAGTCAGTTTGTTTCTTTATTCTTTTGAGTGACTTGAAAAAGAAGTTGATTGAGCTCAAGAGGACAAGAGTGGATGCAAATAAATTTGTAGAAAGGAAATTAAGAGAAATCAATTTTGAGATAGAAAGCAAGATTATCTGCCAAGGGAGGTGGGTTGTCATGGAAGTCATTTTGGGGGTTTGAGGAGAGTGCCTTGGTGTAAAGACTTAGAATTTTGTTGAAGTGAATATAGAATGGAGCTGATCAAGGACAAGTAAAAGGAATGGCAGTTAATTCTGAGAAGTCAGCTTATGTTGGAGATAATGATTTTATAACTTTGTCAGCCTGTATAGACTCCCTGATTTTTTTCCTACTAAAATTCAGTAAAGGAGAAGATGAATACAGTATTGATCATTGGTTGAGGGGTTTCTTGCATGGATGTGGTGGAAGGGTAGCAGTGGAAGGGAATCAGCGAGAGAAGGGTTGGGTTGATCAGCTATTGGTTTCAGCAAACATAGGAAAGGAGAAGCCAGAAAAGTTGTTAGTTGGGAGAAAATAGAAAGACCAGAGATTTATTTAAGAAGTTGACTATATGAGGTGGGAATAAATTACTGAGAGAGCTAGAAGAATGGATAATTTTGGTCAGATTCAGTTGATATAAATGAGGATCAGTTTGAAGGGTGATTAGATCCGTTAAATACCCCTGGGATTGGATAGTAGAAGTTGAATAAAGATCATTGGAGTAAAGATTTTGAAACTTGTTTATTAGGTTGGTGAACTATGGGTAAGTCTTTTCTTATTGTTGGAGGGTGTTAGGAAGAACCTATGAACTAGACCTTGCAGTCTTCAAAAAAAAGAAAAAATGAATGATAGTTACTGGGAGTTACAAGAAGAAAGTGATAGATGGGAGTTGATGCACAAGATTGTGTGGCCTAAACTTTAACAAGGAGGTCTTGCTTGTTTGTATGTTTTTTGTTTGTTTGAAGAAGATGCTGCTACCACTGCTACCCTTCCACCACATGCAATAAACCCCTCAACCAATGATCAATATTGTATTCATCTTCTCCTTTACTGAATTTTAGTAGGAAAAAAATCAGGGAGTCTATACAGGCTGACAAAGTTATAAAATCATTATCTCCAACATAAGCTGACTTCTCAGAATTAAGATGGAAAGCAGTGGTAAGGCAATCGTTGTGAGAAGTAAATTTCAACATCAATCTCTCCTTGTTTCCGGGGCCCATGGTATATGGGAGAAGGCTGCACAGGTCTTTCTTATCAAGGGGAAAACCAAGAGTTTTTTAAGGTAAAAAGATGGACATTATTTTATGAATAATTTGAGAAAAGTGGCCTATTAAATAGCAGTATGGTTTCAAAGAGCACAGAGGAAAGGTTGGGAGAGGAAGAATAAATAATGGGAGGAATCAAGGTGAGAAAACACAGAGTAGTAACAGAATGAGGGGACAGGAGACTAGTAATACTTGCCTTTTGTGTAGACCAGGGATTTCACTGATGAGCATAATTGAAAAGACTGGCCTCAAATATTCTAATTTTATCAGAAGTAATTTTGATGTCAGCACTATCTGAGTGTCCCAGCTCATGTCTGGTCTGGTCTCAGAGATGAGATAAATATCACCATACGATTTGACATGTATTAGTCATGGCTCTCCAGAGAGATAGAACAAATAGGATACACACACACAGACAGACATACACGTATACATAGACAGATAGATGAGATTTAGTAGGGGAATTGGCTCACATGATTATAGAGGCTGAGAAGTCCCACAATGGGCTATGTGCAAGCCAACAGCATGGCTCAGTCTAAGTCTGAAGGCCTCAGAACCACGGAAGCCAATGGTGTAACTCTAGTCTGAGGCCAAAGGCCTAAAAACCTGGTGGGCTGCTTGTACAAGTTCTAGAGTCCAAAGGTCAGAGAACCTGGAGTTCTGATGTCCAAGGGCAGGAGAAGAAGGGTTTCCCAGCTCCAGAAGAGAAAAAGAGCAAATATTTACTTTTCTTCTGCCTTTTTGTTCTGTCTGGGCCCTTAGCTGATTGGATGGTACCCAACCACAATGAGTGAGGGTGGATCTTCCTCACTCAGATGCCTTTCTCATCCAGAAACATCTTCCACAGACATACCCAGAAATAATGCTTTTCCTGGGTATCCCTTAATCAAGTCAAGTTGACACCTAAAATTAACCATCACAGACATCATATCTAAAAATGTCTCTTTGTGGCTCTCTTTTACGAATTATAGCATGGTTTGGTAAAGAATTCTCAGATTGCAATCTACTCATTCCCCCAGATTATATCCTTTGTAATTGTCTTACAGTTCTTGGATATTCTATTCTACTGTTTTATTTTTATTTTTTCTCTTACTATTTCAGTTTGGGAAGTTTGTATTAACTTTTCTTAAAGCTCACTGATTCTTTCCCTGGCCATATCTAGTCTACTGATGATTACATCAGAGGCATCCTTTATTCTGGTATATTGTTTGGGATTTTTATCATTTCCTTTTGATTCTTAGAGTTTCCATCCCTCTGCTTACATTACTCATCTGTCTTGCATGTTGTACACTTTTGCCATTAGAGCTGTTAGCATATTAATCATAGTTATTTTGTTCTTTTATGTTATTTTATTTCATTTTATTTTATTTTTTGAGACAGAGTCTCACTCTGTGGCCCGGGCTAGAGTGCCATGGCGTCAGCCTAGCTCACAGCAACCTCCAACTCCTGGGCTCAAGCGATCCTCCTGCCTCAGCCTCCCGAGTAGCTGGGACTACAGGCATGCACCATTGTGCCTGGCTAATTTTTTCCACTTTTGGTTGTTTGGCTAATTTCTTTCTGTTTATATTAGAGACGGGATCTCACTCTTGTTCAGGCTGGTCTGGAACTCCTGAGCTCAAGTGATCCTCCCGCCTTGGCCTTCCAGAGTGCTAGGATTACAGGCATGAGCCACCACACCCGGCCAATCATAGTTATTTTAAATCCTTGATCTGATAATTCCAAAGTCCCCGCCATATGTGAACCTGCTTCTTTGCATGCTTTATGTCTTCAGACTGTTTTTTTACCTTTCAACATGCCTTGTAATTTTCTGTTGAACACTGGACTGATGTATTGTGTAAAAAGACCTGAGGGAAATAGAGCTTTAGTGAGAGGTTCTAAGTTTATCTGGCTAGGAGTTAACCTGAGCTTACCATTTGCTGTAGCTGTGGTGTCAAAAACTAAAATTTCCTCTGCTGTCCTTGTTTTTATCTCTTGTCTTTCCCTTGAGACTGTTTCTTAAATAGAGCCTGAGGCTTGCCTTCTTTTATTTGTAATCCTTGTTTATGATATAGCATCCCTACTGATATAGTGGTAAGGTGTAGAGGAGGGAAGAGTTGTATTCTAATAATCCTATCATTAGCTCTCAGTCTTTTAGTAAGCCTTTGTTACTGCACCATTATCCCTTCACAAGTGCTTCTTAGCATTTTTCCTCTCCTCAGGTAAGACAGGAAAGCTACACAGGGCTGAAGCTGGGCATTTTCTTTCTCTTAGGTTGCTTAGGTTCTAGTGAAACCGAGTCAGGTAGATCCTGGCAAAATAGTTTCCCTCAAGATCAGTATGTTGTTACAGAGAACAGAGAGCCCTGGGCTTGTTTCAAAATGAGTATCTTCCCCCTCACCTTTCGGACATATGAAGAGATTTTGGGTTTTTTTTTTTTTTTTTTTTCATTAACATTCTGTTACAGCATACTTTTAAGTGGTTGCAGTGAATTTTAACATATAAGTGGATCAGTTCTTTTTATACAGTTGCTGCTTTTAGACAGGTTTTTAGTTTTAATAGATATTTTAATGTAAAAAATTATTTATAGTTCTTAAGGGCAAACTTTTTCTTTTATTTTAATCTAAAATGTACTGAGCAGGAATTTTATTTATTTATTTTATTTTAGTGTATTATGGGGGTACAAGTGTTAAGGTTACATATAGCCCATACCCCCCCTACCCCCTTGAGTAAAAGCTTCAAGGGTGTCTGTCCCCCAAACATTGCACATCTTACTCATTGTAGTTGTATATACCCATCCCCTCCACCCCCCTCCCAACACCTGATAAATGTTACTCCTATATGTACACTTAGGTGTTGATCTGTTAATACCAGTTTGCTGGCGAGTACATCTGGTGCTTGTTTTTCCATTCTTAAGATACTTCACTTAGTAGAATGGGTTCCAGCTGTATCAGGTAACAGAGCTATTCCACATTGTTTTTCTTAACGAGTATTATCAATGGTAAACATATAATTTTATCCAACTATATGAGCCACTCTGTTTATTCCACAGCTTTGCATTGTGAATTGGCTCTATAAACTTTCGAGGTGTCAAGAGTTGTCTTATAAGTGACTTGTGTCTTTGGGTAGTCCAGTTTGGGAGTG